CAGCGACCAATTCCTTGTGCCCCAAGTAAACCCGTACTACTCATCAGATTCTTAAACGATTGGTCAAAACTTGAAGCCAATTGAGTGAAATTGCCGTTTTCATGGCTAAACAGAAAGATCGAGAACTTGCTCTGATCATTCAATGACGGCATCGAATGTAAATTCACTAATGGCTATGTCCATTGTGGATGAGGAGGACTATCAACTAGCGACGTTGAGGAATTGATCAATGGTTGAGGAATACCGCAATCGGATGAAACCTCATGTGGAGAAAGAAGCTGATCTTTTAGTATCTGTAACTCACTGAGAGGATTCATTGATGGTTATGTCCATTGCTGAGGGCTCTGATCTTCAACTATCGACGTTGATGAATCGATCAATGGTTTAGGAGGAACACCACCAGAATCAGAAAAAGAAGCCCAAGACGATCTTGTAGTATTGGTAAACGTCGTTCCAACGAATGTTCCATCTCCAAGAGTTTCTGTGTGAATTTGTTGAAATCATCCTTCTTATCTTTACTCATCTTCTTGGATAGAAATTCGGAAAGGTTGGAGCTTTTCTTGCGTTTCTCTATGTGGCTTAATTGGCTAAACCTCTCGGCCATGTCTCTCACTTTCGCCTTGTCCTCGGGACATGTCTTGATGAGTTCTCCGTCACGCCCGTAATAGAGTACGCAGACTTCGATGTCGCACAGAGTCGAAAGCTCGTAAGCTTTCTTAAACATGGTATCTTCTCTCAACGCCAGACTCGTGCTCGTCGTCTTGGAATCACGATGAGAAGATCTCTTGAAACGGGTTGTATGTCTCGGACACAATTTCGAATCCATTGTCTGCACACAACACAAAAATCAGCTTCACAGTTGACAAATTGACAGAAATCTCTATGACAAAGAAGAGAAATTGTGACAGACAATGTTAATGAAGAGTGAAGATGACTAGGGTTGAGGGTTTCATGTATGTTGAATTGTTGTTTCTGATTTTTATTTCCATTTTTGGATCCCATCTTCATTTAATGCCTATTGTAAATTTTCATTTACTTTTGATTAAACGATCCGATATTTGATATTTTCATATTTTCCTATTAATCTAGCCGTTGGGATCAAGCATTCATTATAGTGAAATCTTTTTTCTTTCTCTCTCTTTGTTTAGTAGGAATTCCGAAATGTGGATGGAACTAGATCCCATTTATTAATTTGTGACCGTTGTTGTTAACATTTTATAGTAATAATTAATTAAGGGTTAAAATCACATAAACCCTAACCATTGGAAAAGATCCCCAACCAGGTTTGATTATTTCAAATGAAAACAAGAGGATTTGTTCGTTTGACCATCTTACTAAGCTGAAATGAAGTTTCTTGAGAGAACTAACAGCAATTTCCTACTTGAAGAAGGCCCAGTAATAATAACTGCATATTCTTTCTATACCATGTTGGTGTTGTTTGTTACTCCCATGTATGCTTTGC